AACTATGCTATATCTTGAACATTGATCAAAGTCTTACTCCTGTCTATCACCCACAATCTAACCCAGTTGAAGATGAAGAATAGAGATCTGAAACCACGTTTAGCAATACTTGTTGGTAACGACCATCAGTCATGGAAGGATAAACTGCCATTAATAAGGTTTGCTTTGAATACAGCCAAATGTGATTCAACTGGACATTCTGCTGCTTTTCTTCAATTTGCACAAGAGTTACGAACCTTAGATGATGTAAAGCATGATATAAAAGCCGTAATTGAGAACGATAATTTTGTTCCCGAAATTACTCCTATATTTGAAACGTTTTGCAAGAAATGTAACAACAGGTACGAGAAAGAGTCGAATTGCATCAAGATAAACAAGAACGTTATGCTGACAGAAACGAGAGAAACACCGAAATTCGTTCCTGGAGATAAAGTTTGGGTCACTCTCCACCCAATCAGCAAAGGTCCACTGAAGAAAACTGCTAAATTCATGCCGAAGAGAGATGGTCCTTATGTGATAGTGACTACAAGATCTTCAACCACTTATGATATTGCCGATCCTCATGAACCAGACAAAATTCTCGGCAAGTATCATGTTTCAGCCTTGAATCCATATCAAGATCGAAATAAGTTTCAAAACTCAGCTCGTGTAACTCCAGTGGTTCCCTTAAAGAAAAGAGGACGCCCGAAACGTGTAATACCACCCGAATCTGCACCTGTTGCACAAGGTGCAGGTGACGCTAAATTTCCTGCTTGTCAAACTGGAGCCCATTCATCTGATTCTCCGCCCGCTGCACAAAGTAGACAAAGGTCAGTTCCTGACTTCTTGCCGAGACGTCTACGAAGTCAGAGGGGGAGGATGCAACAGACCTATTTAAGTGTAATTGAACTATTTTATTCATGTCATGAACTGTAACCGAACTATTTTATTTAAACGCCATCTCGTGGCGATATGAAAAAACGTCAGTCGACCTCCAGCCGCCATGATGATAGCTTACTATGTTATGTTATTCTCAATGTTTAATGTTCCATTTCGTTTATGTTTCATTTTTATATATATTTCTTTTGTTTGTAACCGTTCCTGTGTGCTCTGTTAATAAATCCTTTTAAAGCTAGCCGGCATTAGTGTCTATTGAGGAACGGCTACATCACATATACATATTTCTTAATTTGTTAAGCTTTGAAACCGTTCTATTTAAGAGGATTATCCTTTTTACATTCCAACGCTATCACTGCGCGATCATTATTTTACTTTGTGCAATACTTAACCAAAGCTGGATATTTAAATGACCACCGAAAAACAGCAGTTTTTCATTTTTACTAGCAATTATTTTCTCGGATATTTTAATATATTTATTAAAGATACTGCTTTATTATTTATCTCATTTCTGTCTTTAAATTTGTGACATACTGAATTATGTATTGAACATGCTTGCAATCAACGACAATTTTTTTTTTTAATACCTTAAAAATGATTATTGTTTTATCTTAAGGGACAAGATCTTGTCCATTACAAATACGGATGAGAAACAAGGGAAGACGTAGTTTCCAACTGATGGATTTATCTTTTATATTTATGAAAGTGTTTATGAAAGGTGCTTTTTTAGTATAACAAAGTGAATCATTTAAAACAACGGACACTTACTAATAACAGATTGCAACAAACGTCATTTTATACTGTTAGTGTTATAAGCAAAATTTGTTTCAAACAATATATGATACTATGTCCATAAAATTTTTAATTCTATTTCTTGTGTATCGTATCGTCTGCATCAAAAGTAAAGTATTATAATACTAGGTATGAGCTTTTGCCTCGACTTATAGGTTGGCATCATCACATATATCCTTTTTTTAAATTTTATTCAAAGTTTTGTACACTTCTTAATATTTTGATGTTTTTCTGTTTATGTCATTTTACGTTCAAAAACAAAATGCTGAAATAAACGCTAAAACTTTGAAAACTGAAATTTTTAATGGGATTTTCTTTAACACTTGTAGGGTTTATAGTTATTTTAACTAACATTTATTTTAAGTTTAAACTATCTTTCCTGTCAATCCTTCCTTTCCCCTGGAACTGCCAATGCCAGAATATGTAAATTTGAGTAGAACGCGCAAGCATTCAAATTATCAGCGGAAGTAGTATGATTTAAATAGAAGGAAACGAGTTCGGTGAGAGAGTTATTCTTACTTAGCGAGCGCGGAGGTAGTATTAGAGAATTAAAGATCCCCGCGTTGCGGCCTATGTGCTTGGCGGGAAGTAGTTGCAATTGTTCCAGTGAGCTTCAAGTCTGCTGAATTAGCTGCGGCTTTTGTAAAACGCGGTGAGTTAGTTATTTTAGAGAGCCTCGTAGTTAGAATATTGTCTTTACTTTCTTTTCAGGTTCTTATTTTTATTTTGACTGCCGAGTTGGCACCGTTTGTAAGCGTCAAGAGAACGCAATTGTAAATTAGTACGTTGAATAAAAAGGGACTTAAACCCTTTATAAGACTCTGTGGTTTATACGCTTTCACAGTCACCTCTTGGTTGCGTGCTAGTTAGAGGCGCGCAACGTTATACACTAAGCATTTAGTTTTATTAGTTGGCAACAACCGGTACTGTTATTTATTTATATTTTTATTTATTTATTTATAAAATTCCAACTGGGGCATCAGACTGTAATCCGAAGCTTTCAGAAGGTAGTAGCCTCCCCCGTTTAGTTCTGGTTTCGCTTTCGTCCCCTCACTTTTTCTTTTTGAGCTTGTTAATGGTGAACTTAATCTTTTACCCCCCCTCCGAGAAAAAGTACTTCTTTTTCAGTTGAAAATAATCTAAGTGGGGGGGGGGAGTCGACTTTATGCGCATTGGAGGCAAAGCATTCTTGGTTTATTATTTAGAACTGTCTGATTTATACTAGCACACGCAGGTTATGAACAGATAGGAAAGCAAAATGAATGAATAAAAAGAATGATACTGAAATCAATAACTGAACTGATTTCTTGGAAACATAGAATGGATGTAATAATAATATTAATATTTTTATTCAGTTATGCTTTTCATTCCTTAATAATTTCCTTCAGAAATGCTACACGCCGCATACCGCTCCATACCGCATACCGATTTTCAAAAGTTAAAACTTGTAAAACAATGAAAGAAAGAGAAAATTACGCGAATAAATACGGTAAGTTGCGATATAAATCTGTATTTATGGGATGGATTTCTTTAGCTCGACTGCTTCTGCAATATCTAAATTTCCGGGAATATGATACGCTGAAGTAATTTAAAAAAATGATTACTTCCGTGCACATGGTATCTGAGACATGACCATATCATAAAGCATCCATGATGGGAATCCCGGAAATTGTACCGGAAATAACGCTACATTAATTAAATGCTTTTGTTCTGCCATTCACGAAAAGTGAAGATGACTTCGTAATTTAACGATATAAATAAAATATCTTTTTAATGAGATAATAAGATACTTAAAGCATTAAATGACAAGCTTTTTACTGTTGATTCTAAGCAAAATAAATGTAAAAATAAGAATTATGAATGTTTTAAAATGGAGGCTAAACGGATAAAGAAAAGCAAACTGCAAACCTTACCATCAGTTCCAAATGGCTAATTTCAATTATAAGACAAATAAATAAATAAAATGATTGTCGAAGAATTATGAGTCATTTTAATGTCTGGTACGAATTATTGATGAAGGAAAACCGAAACAAATCCTGCATTAAACGAAAGTTTTAAATGGTGGAAGCATTAAACGAATTCGAATTGACTCGAATTCACGTTACAAATGAGGAAAACCACGAAAACCAATCTTGTAACCACTCGTTTGAGATGGGCCCCGCGTCGAGCTTACAGTAAACAGTGGATTTAACCACACAACCATTGGTGGGGCGCAACAAGCTTATTCTACTGAGAATTGAATCTGGGTCAAATAATCAATATTCAACGGTTTCTATCACACGGTGGTAGATTTTCAAAGAAAGAAAATGTAAACCACCTCATTATATGACATGAATGCCTGCCGAATATTTTCAAAATAGAAATCATTTACCTCAAGAAAATAAACTTCTAAATTAATTATAAATTCTGAGTTATTCGCCTGGGTTAATAGATCGCGCAAATGACATTCAGCACACTCCTTTGCAGTAACTACACAGACATTTAAATTATGGTCGGGTTTTCATGACACAGAAGCAGGGCCGACGCAAGTTGTCGTCCGATGCAAAATGGATGGCAGAATTCAAGAGCTCCACTTGGTACTAAATGCTGCAAATTCTGCCACTCCGTAAGGCAGCATCGGTTACATAGATTTAGGGCCAGCGCCTGAATAGGTACAGCCGTCCTGATTCCATGGTCTCGAAATTCCAAAGAAGCACTCTGAAGAAAATCTGAAAACTTCTATCGAAATATAGAGATGCTGTTCCACCAAAGACTGAATGGATAAGACGGCTAAACATTAGCAATTCGTTCCATGTTCTCAGCAAATGAGAGGGCTGAATGAAGTTTTCGTGTTTTTCCGTATGTGCAATATGATTACAACCTAGTTTTCCTAAAAAGGCCTCCATCAAGGCAACCCTTATAAGGCGAGATAGCCTCAGGTGCTTTGCCATAACAATTAAACATTTATCTAACTATGAGTGGTGATCTTTTCTAAGAAAGACATCACAAATTACAGCAGAATATTGCATTTTTCAAATAAATTCCACAACAAATAGTAACAAAGATTAACCTGCTCTTAACTGAAATGGACACACAAATCTAACCGTAATTTACAAGTGCAATCTATGACAAAGTAAATTCAAGGTTGCTATGTAATTCCTAAAGTCCATTTTACTGTTAATTCAGGAAAATTTTCATAAGCTGCTATCCATTAATTTTCTATCAAATTGCATTTAATTTCGCTCATGCGTTTGAAAGAGATAATAGTTAAATCATAACAGAAAAACAATATCTGCAAAACAAAGCTTTATGTTGTATAAACAGCTTAATACTCGACATACAAGTATCCTCACCTCTTAATAGTTGATCGAGTACTCGTGGAAATACTCTCATCTTCGATCCTACTTTCGGTTTTTATATTTTTAGTGAACTGTTTAGAAAGAAAGAATTCTTTCAGCTTCAGGAAACTAACCCAAGCAATCCGAGGCAGCTTTTCCAGCTCCGGATAGAAGAAGGAGCTAGCGGGATGGTCAGGGTAACGGGAACGGATAGGAGTAATGTTTGACCTTGGGTCAGTGGCCCATTTTGGAGAAGTAAATGTGTAGCCGTTGTCAGTGCCGCCATCGGTTGGCTGTAGGTCAAGGGTGACTGAGTCCACCCACTTGTTTGCACGGCATAGGTCGAAACTGTCAACGCCTATAAACCAGTCAGGGCTTGGAGTAATGCGACAGATCATTGACACCTAGAATAAATATTAAGAAAAATTAACTTACATTTGTAAATTTATAACTTATATTTGTAAATTTATAACTTACTTGTGTAAAAAAAATCCATTTTAAGCAGATTTAAAAAAAAAAAAAAAAAAAAAAAAAACATCAGTTTTAAATGCTACACAATTTTCAGGACTTAATTTCTAGAATTAAAAATACAGGAGGACTTCAGGAAAGATGACCAAAAAATAAATAAACAAAATAATAAATAATTGATTATCAAAATTAAATAAAATGTAAACAGAGAAATAAAATATTAATAAACTGAGTAAATTAACAGCAAATAGTTAAATAATAAAATTAAATGCCATATCTTATTTTATTTGGGGCTATGGCTGAAACTGCAGTTTCATTCAAAAACTGTAAAGTACCGAGGAGGAGCTCCGATAGGTTTCCGCTGGATTAAAATGGAAGCCCTTATTATTCTTTCTTCATGTAAAAGTTATGATGATACTGGTCGGGGCAAAGGGAGGCGAGCTTACAGTATATAATAAACAGAAGGTGCTGAAAGGTGATCATTTCATTTTTGGACAAGTTTTCAATATAAAGATCCAAACTGTACTTAAATTTAGCAGTTACTTCCAAGCAAGAGGTGAAACTCCTAACACTTAAATAGCACCTAAAAGCAACTTTTTACAACCTTGCAACTCTTTAAATTTTTAAAAACCTGTTTAAAATAGATGCACGTAGTCTTCATTTACCATTTAAATGTACTTTGATACCTGTCTTTACAGAGGAAGTAAATGAATCAGTATACGCTTAGCGTTTGCGATTACCTGCATTTTGTGCGTTTTCTCTGGAAAAGGACTATGCTTCATAGTTAAATTTTCATAACACTAATCACGATGATAAATATTTTGATAATAGTTCTAAACAGTAATCATGAATCGTAGTTTTTAACACTGTAGAGATATCCGCAATCAGAGTAATCAATCATAGTTCAGTTCACGCATTTGCTTAAATTGCCAAGCCATTTAAAATCTGCTTTCTTTTCGTCTTATTTCATTTAATGGTCTTCTAAATATGAGTTAATCTTCATTTTATAATTAACGTACATGGTCAAGCTTAAACTTGAAGGAAATGTAAAAATATTAAATAAATAAATAATCAATATACCAAAAACAAAAAGTTATTTTAATACAGTTATCACTATGCACTTATTTAGAAATTACTCGGCAGAGAAAGACTCCGAAATTTTAAGGCTTAAGAAAATCCAATGCGCTGTTAATAAAAGCCATGGATCTACTTTTGCATAAATTTGTACCTTTAACAATAATAACTTTCCAGAATGTATGAACAAAAAATTAATGTTAATAAACTACTCATAAAAATTTTTGAAATCATAGTTTTGTTTTAAGATTTAAGATCTCTTAAAAGTCGAATTAAGAGACTGAAAAACTTCTAGTAGTAAAAAATTAAAATTCTTCAATTAGCGGAATTTTATCTGAACCATTTAAATTGAGGAAAACGTTCTTGGAGTTAGGGATCTGGAGTTTTGAACTGCTGAAATTAAAAGAGCGGAGCTATGCCGTCTAAGCAACTTTTGAGAAACAAAATATTAATAAGAGTTGCACGGCTCGTCGTCTTCTTTGCTGACATGCTGTCTGCGTCTAGCAATTCATTCATGATCTTCTTTCTCGCTAGGTCACGAGCAAAAATATCACGTTACGAGAAGAGAACTGAGTGTTGCAGCTCTACTCGATGCACATTCGCAGACAAATTAACGCTTGACAGTTAAGAGTTATTTTAACCTTCACGGAAATCGTTGCAAGTCCAGAAGAGTAACACTTTCTTTTTTAAACTTTATTTACGCATTCAGTTTCAGGAAGTACAAATGTTTGTATTAAAATATATTTACCTCTTAATTATAAAATGCTTTTTCGACAGAAATCAAATTAACTGCAGGGATTTTAAGTATCATGAGAAAGCACTCGCTCTGGAAAACTTTCAGAAAAGTAGGCTATACCTATTTTTTATGAAAGAATACTCCCAACGTGTTTTATGAGTTCAGATATGAAAAGGAATATGGAAATCGCTAATACAAAAATGAAAATCGTTCTATACTACATTACAATAATTTACATCGAGTAGAAATTTATCTTTGTACTTATTTGAAAAATATTTGATACCATCTTTTATGATTCTTATAAAATACTAATAAGGGTATAATGAAATATTATATTATGTTCTACAACAGATATTCATAAAAATTATTTATGATAAGCTATAATTAATAAAGTAAATTATTTGCGCTAAGTTGCGAATTTGCTCCAACATTAAAATGTTTTCTATTCGATCGAACGGTCAGTCCACTCGGATCCAACTATCACTACTATTAAGCGGTTCGGACGCTTATATGGGCTAAACTGGAGCAAAACTCTGTAATATTTTAAGGAGTATCGGATATTTTGTTAACAAAAACTGACATGATGGTATGGTAGCTCATAGAGTCGTAGGTCTATTACAAAAAATATTTCCAACATTAAAATGTTTTCTATTCGATCCAACGGTCAGTCCACTCGGATCCAAATATCACTATTCAGCGGTTTTACAGCTCGGACGCTTATATGAGCTAGACTTGAGCAAAACTCTGTAATATTTTAAGTAGTATCGGATATTTTGTTAACAAAAACTGATATGATGGTATGGTAGCTCATAGAGTCGTAGGACTATTACAAAAAATGTTAACATACTTTTTTAAAGAAAAAAAGGGTCTCATAGACATGTAAAAAATTTCATAAAATTTTACAATTTGCGTACATTTTGATCGAGTCTGTGTATTGCAGTTTCTTGACGAAAATTTTTGTATGAAATAAAATCTTGTACAGATTATTTGTTAACTGAAAGAAATAAATTTTTACCTAGTAATAAAAGAATTTGCTAAAATATTAATAGCTACATTTGTGCACTTATTTTTAAAATTTCAAGTTATCAGGACTTGTGTTCCTCTTGACTTGCTTTGGAAACATGAACTCTCCTGACTCGGAACAGGGAGCTTACTCAAGCTATGTTCAATAAATTGTGAAGTAGACAATACACACAGGAAGGGTATACGAAACCCTTTATTTTTCTATCTTTACAGAGATTTCCGGAACTTCGGAATATAGAGACCAACCACTTGTGGTCTGAACGTAAGAATATAAACTACTAACTAAAACTAACTTTGGATTAATATACAAGTGCCTAGCTTTAAGATTGGCCGTTATTTAACAAAGTCCGTATGTAGTACAGACAGATGCTAAAACTACGATACGTTTGAAATTATCAAGAGGACTAAACCTCTGGCCTTGATGGCAACCAGCAACCGAGTGAAAACTCGTAACACTAAAATGGCAAGCGGCTTGCTTCCAATAACCCTTCCTCTATCTTGCTTGGCAAAAAGCCACAACTTAAGTACTTGGCGTTAGCAAGACAAATTTGCATAAATAAGTTAAAGCTTTTAATTCTGGCCGGAAGTAGAAAATAAGAAGTGATAGTAAAGATTTAAAATAAAATAAACGTTAGTAAAACTTGGGATCCTTACAAAGTAAGCAATTTCAAAAAAATTCTTGTCGAATGAAAAATTGCCATGTTATTCTCTCTTAACCGAGCTTGCCACTGTTGAAAAGGATTACTATCCCAATTATTTTGGATAATCAAAATTCTACTGTAGAAGAGTATACTTAATTGCTGAGATTGAATCTCTGAGAAAGATGCATTACTTCGCCAACAAGTATCAATTTTTCAATCTCAGGTACACAAGTGTGGATGCTTTCGAACTCATCAGACAATTATAATACGTCTATAACATAAATACATATTCATTTCACAACTGAACGACAAATGTTGGTTAATGACATAGTTAAAAACGAAATCAATTTCACATCCATCCAGACACTCGCAAGGCAATGCACTGCTTCTCATGTATAACTCAAATGAAAGGTTAAATTTTTCAAAGTAAAAGTCTGCTTGTCTGGCATATTTTAACAAAAGATTTTCGATGAATATCACCTAAGATAGATTACTTTTAAAATGTCAAATACGATGTTGTAGCGCATAACGTCCTCGAGTAACAAAGATCTGACAGATGAACCAAAAACTATATACGTATTAAAATTTTTAAACGCTTCTTGTTTATTTTATTTTTGTTTTGGTGAAGTAACTGATAAACTGAGCTTTTTCCATCCTTATAGAAGCAGTTAGGATTATAAAGATTATACAAGGAGTCCTAAAAAGGGCTGACTGCCTGTAAAACGGAATAGCAAGAAAACAGTAACAGTTATTATATTTACTCTTGCTGGAGATTCACGGGTGAAATCTGGATTTTTATTTTTTAAAGTATGTTTCTTTGTGTTAGTACCAAATGTCACCTGGAAATGTTATACAAAGTCCAAATGCAGCTATCCCTTCAAGGGTGATAGCAAGGAAAGAAAGACTCATCTTTGGAAAGAAATACTGTAATTCATTGTGGAAAGCAATACTGACGCAAAGCACAAATGGTTTTCTTACTAAGCACATTTTCATGTGAATGGCTTCGTCTATAAACAGAACTTACAGATCCAGTGAACGGAAGACTCTCATGTGTGTTCCACGATCACTGTTGGCATAGATTTTCTGTATGAGCAGCTTTCTGTGTAAGCTACCTTCGTACCCATCCCGTCACGTAAATTAGTTTCTACAAATAGTGCAGTGACTGATCTTCTGACAGCTCATGGACCTTTTGTGTCCTACTTAGTTCGTTTTTGGGTTACATAACACAGACAGTTGCATTTGTGGCTTACCAAGCACAAAATCAAATTACACTTGATTATTAGATAGATAACTTTACAGAGCTACCTTTTTCAGTACAAATATGAACAGAAACACAACATTATTTTTTAGCATCTTGTCTCTCTAATAATCAGAAACACTTAGTATCTGTAAATCCTGGTAATAACGTGCAACTACTTGTTTCTTGTCACAACTACTTGTTTCAGTGTCAAATAACCAAAGAT